CGCACGCCCTCAACCATTGTTGACTTTTGAGGGGAATGGAAATGACTCGATTTGAGGGTGTCACAATAAGGGAGGGAGCAAATCGTTTATTATATGAAAAAGTGAAGATCTTGAATGTACTTTATGTACTTTAGTACAACGTCATTTGGTTGCCTAACGCTTTTAGGTTCAGGTGCTGCAAGTTATAGTGCACATACCTGAGCGGCCGTCCCTCAGCAAATAATTTAGCCTAGGCATTTTCCGTGTCAAAATCGCGAAACTATCCGTTTTTATGCAATCTGGGAAGCCCAAATTACTAAACGGAGTGCAAGACGACGAAGCTGATATATCCAAAAATCAACACATACCAATAATTATATCCCAAAAATGAATATGGTGCATTTTAGGTCTAATGTCAGAGGGAAATTCTCGTCTGTCTCTATATCTCGTCTGCTTGAGGTACCGGACCGGGAAAGTCAAATAGACGCACACAACAAAATACGTTTCAATAGCTAGTCTTCAGCCACATCGAGAACGCCTCGAGGCAAACTGCCTCGTCGGAGCCTCTGCCCCGGGCTGTTCAAGACTCTCTCGCCCGGTGGAGCTCTCTCTCTCTCTGACCAAGGACTTAGACCGTTTATTACGTATCAAAACATAACCAATTACAGAGAAGTTAAAGACTCTAAGGTGTGGCCTTCAATCATACAGCTAATCACACTAAGTACTGGACACGTCTTATCTTTTGATTAATCGTTCACTATATTAATAAACTACAAACACCAACTGTCAGAAATGGCGATGGTTTATATCGTAATTAGTTCCAAATCACTGAGTCAAGTTCCGTCCAGGACTTCGCATGAGCCTAAATGATGACAGATATAACACAGCCATTCACTAATTCTAATTCACGAAAACTAATTCATGACACTAACCGCACCGGAAGTAGGAGTTTGTTACTACTCTAAATATCCAAACATATTTTAGCATAAGGTAGTAACCATCTTTGGGCGATAACGAAAGGTAAAAAAAATCATTCCAAGTGTCCACAAACCTGTATCTGCACCATACAACTTTTAAATAAAAACAGTATACAATAAGTTTGTGTCATAACGCTATATATGTCATATTGAGTAAAGAGTAATCATATTACGTCCCAGGATACAAGAAAAGTTATGATGTGTACCAAATTAATTCTTTTAACAATTTCCCCATTTTGAATTTATCTTCACAAATTACATCACAAAGGTGATCAATTTATATACAAACTACTTCTGTATACAATGAACGATTGTCAGTAGGATTCTAGTATAACTAATCAAAACGCATCCAAACAACGGACTCTGAAATGCCATCTTCATATGAATTTCGACAAGATGATAAGAGATAGTACGAATAAGGTTGCCATAGTAACTGTAGATGATATTACTGTTGACGTTATGCTGTTTCCTTCAATATCTGGAAGAAAGTAGTAATTTTAAATGAATAGACTAGACAATATGAACACAGACTGTTTTAATAGACCTAAGTGACCGGTCATTATTCGTAGCAAGATAAGTGTTATTTGTTAAGTGACTATAATAGTCCTATAAAGTGACAGGTCATTATTCATAGCAAGATAAGTGTTATTTGTTACAGTGACTATGAATAGACCTAAGTGACAGGTCATTATTCGTAGCAAGATAAGTGTTATTTGTTACAGTGACTATAATAGTCCTATAAAGTGACAGGTCATTATTCGTAGCAAGATAAGTGTTATTTGTTACAGTGACTATGAATAGACCTAAGTGACAGGTCATTATTCGTAGCAAGATAAGTGTTATTTGTTAAGTGACTATGATAGTTCTATAAAGTGACAGGTCATTATTCGTAGCAAGATAAGTGTTATTTGTTACAGTGACTATAATAGTCCTATAAAGTGACAGGTCATTATTCGTAGCAATATAAGCGTTGTTACAGTGACTATAATAGACTTAAGTGACAGGTCATTATTCGTAGCAAGATAAGTGTTGTTTGTTACAGTGACTATATTATACTTAAGTGACAGGTCATTATTCGTAGCAAGATAAGTGTTATTTGTTACAGTGACTATAATAGACCTAAGTGACAAGATAAGTGTTATTTGTTACAGTGACTATAATAGACCTAAGTGACAGGTCATTATTCGTAGCAAGATAAGTCTTATTTTTTCCAGACTTTAGACTACCCAATTTATTATTTTGCATAACATTATTCGTAGCAAGATAAGTGTTATTTGTTACAGTGACTATAATAGACCTATAAAGTGACAGGTCATTATTCGTAGCAAGATGAGTGTTATTTGTTACAGTGACTGTAATAGTCCTAAGTGACAGGTCATTATTCGTAGCAAGATAAGTGTTATTTGTTACAGTGACTATAATAGTCCTAAGTGACAGGTCATTATTCGTAGCAAGATAAGTGTTATTTGTTACAGTGACTATAATAGTCCTATAAAGTGACAGGTCATTATTCGTAGCAAGATAAGTGTTATTTGTTACAGTGACTATAATAGTTCTATAAAGTGACAGGTCATTATTCGTAGCAAGATAAGTGTTATTTGTTACAGTGACTATAATAGACCTAAGTGACAGGGAAGTGTCGGAGTCGTTTTCACCGGCACAAGCTTCATCGATGACATCCGTCTCAATGGCCAAATTGTTATCGTACTCCACTGCGTCGTTTTCACAGGTAGATTTATTTATTGGAATTGCACCAGTGTCATTAGTTTTTTTCCTTGGAATCGCGCCAAGTTGAGCTGAAATCCTCGAAGGATTACTCTCATTTTGGGTTATAATCTTTTTTCCAGACTTTAGACTACCCAATTTATTATTTTGCATAACATTATTCGTAGCAAGATAAGTGTTATTTGTTACAGTGACTATAATAGACCTAAGTGACAAGACTTTATTCGTAGCAAATAAGTGTTATTTGTTACAGTGACTATAATAGTCCTAAGTGACAGGTCATTATTCGTAGCAAGATAAGTGTTATTTGTTACAGTGACTACAATAGTCCTAAGTGACAGGTCATTATTCGTAGCAAGATAAGTGTTATTTGTTACAGTGACTATAATAGTTCTATAAAGTGACAGGTCATTATTCGTAGCAAGATAAGTGTTATTTGTTACAGTGACTATAATAGACCTAAGTGACAAGACTTTATTCGTAGCAAATAAGTGTTATTTGTTACAGTGACTATAATAGTCCTAAGTGACAGGTCATTATTCGTAGCAAGATAAGTGTTATTTGTTACAGTGACTACAATAGTCCTAAGTGACAGGTCATTATTCGTAGCAAGATAAGTGTTATTTGTTACAGTGACTATAATAGTTCTATAAAGTGACAGGTCATTATTCGTAGCAAGATAAGTGTTATTTGTTACAGTGACTATAATAGACCTAAGTGACAGGACATTATTCGTAGCACGATAAGTGTTATTTGTTACAGTGACTATAATAGACCTAAGTGATAGGTCATTATTCGTAGCAAGATAAGTGTTATTTGTTACAGTGACTATATCAGTCCTAAGTGACAGGTCATTATTCGTAGCAAGATAAGTGTTATTTGTTACAGTGACTATAATAGACCTAAGTGACAGGACATTATTCGTAGCACGATAAGTGTTATTTGTTACAGTGACTATATTAGATCTAAGTGACAGGTCATTATTCGTAGCAAGATAAGTGTTATTTGTTACAGTGACTATAATAGTCCTAAGTGACAGGTCATTATTCGTAGCAAGGTAAGTGTTATTTGTTACAGTGACTATAATAGTTCTATAAAGTGACAGGTCATTATTCGTAGCAAGATAAGTGTTATTTGTTACAGTGACTATAATAGTCCTAAGTGACAGGTCATTATTCGTAGCAAGGTAAGTGTTATTTGTTACAGTGACTATAATAGTTCTATAAAGTGACAGGTCATTATTCGTAGCAAGATAAGTGTTATTTGTTACAGTGACTATAATAGACCTAAGTGACAGGTCATTATTCGTAGCACGATAAGTGTTATTTGTTACAGTGACTATAATAGTTCTATAAAGTGACAGGTCATTATTCGTAGCAAGATAAGTGTTATTTGTTACAGTGACTATAATAGTCCTAAGTGACAGGTCATTATTCGTAGCAAGGTAAGTGTTATTTGTGGAATGTTGGTGAATCTTCTATGTATTTTTTACTGCTAGTTTGTAATTCACTAAACATATCAACAATCATAACTGAAGTGTGTAGACCAACACGATTAGTTATCATGCCAGTATTTGCCATTTTATTTAAAGGATTATAAGCATATATATCTCCTGAGTGGATAGTAAGTACAGAGCCCTGGGAATATACCACGCAACGTTAACACAATACGATAATGTTACAATGTCAAACGAATGCTAGGATTATATACCCTAATACAGTAAGAAAGTGTAAACTGCATCCGAGATAGTTACCTTAAATTTAAGAAGGAAATCCCCGTGTATAATGCAACATACATGGTTGGCTATATAATATAATGTCTTGTTATATTATAATTTAATGTCTTGTACCAAAATAAAATATCTTATAATATTAAAATATAATATCAAGCATTATTATACATCTGTCATAGTAACGGCATAAGATACAGCATGCCATAATTTGGCGGTATTTTACGGGGTATTTTCATCCTACCATATTAGGAAATGCGAATTCCAAATATAGAATGATTACGCGTGTAAGCGTCCTCTGAAAATAAAAACAAACATGGTTGCCATCAGGGTTTGACCGGACTCAACACTAAGAAGTTCGCAGATTCTGTTCTAAACTTTTTGGATTTCGGCATTCCCATGATGTATCATTAGAAAGAAAAGACGTATAATAATAAGGTTATTACAGGACACCTGAAAGTATTCACTCAGACAGTACACCGTCGCATCGATCTCCGCTGCGCGTCGGTCGATACTCCTGCTGTACTGTCTGTCTTCGAGCATACTTTGAAGTATCTTCGTAATAACCTCATATAAAATTATAATCACTTTAAATAATATTAGTTCCTGGAGTGTTTTTTTTCTTAGTACATGCATTCATCAGCAGACCGTTTGAGTGTATGGAACAGCAATAACGAACTTTTTTTTTTTTTTTTTTGTGCTAAATCACAGTATATTGATTCCATAAATTAGAAGTTAGTGTAATCATAATTCTATCAACGTGGCACATATTGCTTGCCTTTGTATTTGGAATTCTATTTTACGACAAGGTATTAACTCATTCAAGCATTAGAACAGTAACATGTATTATGTAACGTATGGCCATCGGTGGAATTTAGATTTTATAACCAACTTTTTACCCTTAATGTAGGGTGCAACCTATACGTTGTATTTTAGTATTACAAGACATTATATGAGGTTATTACGAGGATACCTTAACGTATATAGAGATGTATTAGTATTAGTACATAGAGACGAATTATGGACCACATGTAATGAATGAACTCACATTTCAGCGAAATCCAGACAATCTCAGTTTGCTGAGTATATCCATCCCCGACTCTGCACTCCCATTGGCCCTCGTCTCTTACATCAACACCATGTATTTCAACTGTATACTGAATGGTATTGGGAACGAGATGATATCTAGCTTGGCTATCGTCATCGTCACTCCCATCTGAAACGAGTTGCTTATTGCGTGCAATAGTAGTTTCGTTGGTACCATAACTGTTCTTTTTGATCCAGGACATTTCATGACATTCAGTTAATCCAACTGTGTTGCATACTAATGTGATATTGTCACCAATATACGCTGTGATATTTGAATCAAATGGTGAAATATCCCATTGCATTTCTTCATGTTCTGTAATGAAAGTAGAATACTTCATATTACGACTGGTTTGCGTCGATAGTGTAATGTGTAATTATTGGATCGTTGTCCTCGATATCTAGTCATATATTAGACACAGAAAATGTTTGTTTTCATACCAATAATACAATAACTTGTTTAATAACATTATACATGTTACCTCAGTAACCAATTACATCACGAATTTCGTAATTCCGAAAACATTTGCATAGACTGGGATATTCAACATATATTTTGTATTAGGATTGTTACTGAAATGACCAAAATTAATATTTCATCTTAGCGTTAGACAGTTAATTTCAGAAGGTTTAAAATATCAAGTAGCAGATGTAGACCACAACTATGATAACCACCGGAATACAACATGTCTGATATATGACGAGTGTCACTAGTTGATCTTTTCAATACTTTAAAAATGGTTTAAATACATTGTCAGTAACAATTATTTCCATTTCATAGCCCAAAGACATATCTTAAATGTTGTATAGTTACTTACGCTCAAGCCTAATTGTCTTTGACGTGATTCCCTTTAAATTGCTTATTTCGCATTGATATTCGCCGAAGTCATACATATTTACATGGCTAAAGGATAAACGTGTCTCCTGGGATGTTGTTTCAATTGTCACACCATTTTCTAACTCGCTGAAATCAAAATTACACAATTACGATATGTCCACAAAATGTACCGTTTATTAACAAAACTAGAGCACTTATAAGCAGTTGACCAGTAATTGAATTTATGTCGACAATACTTATAATACATACACCAATACTGTGTCGGAATGTAATTAGAAACAATATATTTTAGTTCATTAAATTCATTTCAGAAGTAATTCATCTGAGTAGGTCCTGGTCACATGTGTCTCTGTTTGCAGGTTCATTCCTTTCGTGTTTTGTTTCGTTAGAATCAAGTTGTGGGTGAATGTAGTGGTTTTGATCTTCAACACTGTCATTCTGCATCAGAAGCGACCGACCAATCAGCCGTTATTGATTGATTGATTGATTGATTGGTTGACTGTGGAATTGTAAATGAATACAATAAAATAACTTTGCATATAGTTCACACTCATTACATGGTTATAGATTGCATTCAGACGATGTTTTGCATAGAGGGTTAACTCTTTTTTCAAACCTACAAATAAATTACATTAAAACATTAAAATTTACTCACAAGACCAACTATTAATGTCATCGCTATAGGACTACATGTAGATGGTAATGAATCGTACACACAGCTCATAATTCATAAATGAAGTCAAACTGCTTAGTTTTCTTCTTCAGATTTATTATACTAATATTGATAATATTATAAAAAGGAGCAACTGGTATTTTTTTTATAAATTAAATTAAATTTGATTTTTCTTTTATCCTTTTTTCCATTTTAAAATTTGTGGGACCGATGGAGTTCCTGGGCTCGCTGTGCAGCTACCTGGTCTTCTGATCATGTTGTCCCCACCACACTACAAAGTCTATTCCACTCAGTCTGTTTTTATAACTGTAATAGACGTATTTGTTCCAAGAATAACAAACACGAGCAATATCTGTCAGAATTTCACATTATAAAACCAGCGATGTCACGTATCGCTTACTTTCTAACATTTCCCCATGGTTATTCTCCCTATTATTTCATACAAACATTGCCCAAATCTCGGAGATGAACTCACTTCAATTTATTGATAAGGACACATTCACATCCACTGGAGGATGTACTCCCTGCAAGTCCAAAAGTTGTGCTACTGCAGCCAGTAGAAATAACACATACAAAATCAATCATCATATTATCAATAACACCACCAAGGCAATAACATAGGTTTGATAAAGGTGGGTGCAATAACTAGACCGAAACGGCATCAAATTTAAATCCAGCTAAGCCGTTGTAATGAGTTGTAATATATATGCAAAGTTATTGTGTGTTTTGTTGTGTTTGTTGTTAAAATATTGGTATTTAAAAACCAGTAACACATTCACCATTGTCGAATCTTTGAAATATACTTACTTAACAGTACTTCCATCAGTCGCATTGGTCCACACAATCTCAGTTACATTAGGGCTAGCCTGATAAAAGCAGACCAGTAACGCTGAATCATGCAAACATGATACAGTAACCACTTCATGATCTACAACTACATCTGGTTTATCTAAAAATAAAATAGTATTATTTTCTGAATAAATGTCATGTTATATTATAATGCCATGGAATCCATATATCTTCTGTTTACAAACTTGAAGATGTAGTGAAATGTGCACCTGAGTTACTTGCTTTGTGTTTGGGTGGTTATTTCCTTGATTTTTTCCAAATATTTATTTTGTGTTTTTGAGCTTGTAAATGTATTTTGCTCAATGGTTTGTGGTTGTATATGTTATTTGCCCGTTAAAATGCTATTCGGTGAAAGTATGCCAAAAAACGTGGCGAATTTCGTCTTGAAATTATATTTTGAAATTATTATATTATACACGGCTAAAAAAAAAGAATGTTTAAATAAAGTGTTATACTCACAGTCCATTGTGATTTCTACAGTCGCTTGAACACTGCCCTCAGTGTTACTGGCAGCACATTGATAAACACCTCGATGTGAACTGCTCATATTCACTAATTCCAATATACTACCATGTGATAAATATTCACCACTCGGTAGCATGTCTCCTGGTCTGGACCAGACAATGCTTGGTTTAGGACTTCCAATCGCTGTACACTTCAATTCGTATGTCGTATTTTCATGAGCAAAGAAATCGTAAGTAATGAAATCGATCTCTGGGGGAACTGGATAAAAAATATATTGATTACATTTTTTTTATTTATTGTAACAGTAATGAACATGCCACAGCGCCAAATGCAATATGGTACTTGGGGAATTCATTGTGTATAGTATAATGCCATGTGACAAAGAGAGAAATTACGAGCTTTGAACTCTGTTATGAAAATGAGTTGACCATGGCCTCGTTTTGGAGATAGTAATTGCCCAGTATATAGTTTTGCGGCTAGTGAATTATTATGTGTACAACGTTGAGTAATGTGATTCTGTTGGGTGTTTATTTATACCCCTATCACATGTGATGAATGAATGTCATGTTATAGTATAATGCCATGTGATGAATGAATATTATGTTATAGTATAATGCCATGTGACGAATGAATATTATGTTATAGTATAATGCCATGTGATGAATGAATATTATGTTATAGTATAATGCCATGTGACGAATGAATATTATGTTATAGTATAATGCCATGTGATGAATGAATATTATGTTATAGTATAATGCCATGTGACGAATGAATATTATGTTATAGTATAATGCCATGTGATGAATGAATATTACGATATAGTATAATGCCATGTGACGAATGAATATTATGTTATAGTATAATGCCATGTGATGAATGAATATTATGTTATAGTATAATGCCATGTAATGAATGAATATTATGTTACAGTATAATGCCATGTAATAAATGAATATTATGTTGTAGTATAATGATATGCAATGAATGAATATTATGTTATAGTATAATGCCATGTGATGAATGAATATTATGTTATAGTATAATGCCATGTAATGAATGAATATTATGTTACAGTATAA